GCGGACGCCGCCGCCCAGCTGGCCACACCCACCCCTGCTTGCTTGAGGCAGGCGGGCGGGCACCTACTTCGCCGGGAAAGGCATTTAGTGGCCCTGCACGCAGGCAGAAATGCGAGGGAAGAGGGTAAACCGCGGGCCCTCCGCCCGCCCAAGCAACGGGCCTCCTTCCCTTGAGGTGCATCGGTGTAAGCCCGCAGCAACCACGACCGCGCGCGCTAACAGCCTTGCCTCTCCGCAATAGCCCCAGTGCCCGTGGGTGTTGGATTCTGTGCCTTTCCCGGCCTAGAACTTTCTCCAGAGTTGGTGCTCATGACTGTCAAGGGACTGGGTTCAAAAGTTACCACCACTACTGATAAGGCCTGAATAGGTTCATGTAATACATGGCTAGGTGGTGTTTGGAAGGTGAGGATGAAGGCAGGCATCGGCCCCTCTAAATAGTGTGCTTGTTTATTTATTTTATTTATTTATCTATTTAACTTATATGCCGCCCACACTACCCATAAGTCTCTGGTTTAGGATTTGCCCAGTACTGTACTCAAATTGCAGTATTTCATAGAGAAATGTAATTAATCTCTCCCTTTCTATACATCTTCCAGAGTTTGGGTTGTGGAAACAGTTTTCAGCCTGGATTCTTCTATACAGAAAACTGCCTAGCAGACCTGGGGGAAGTATCTATCTTTGCTTTTCTTCTGTGCTTTTCTTCTGTCTGTGAAGTGGGAAATATATTACAGTAAATTCTTGAGTACCACAAGAGATCACTATCATAATTTATACTGTATTTGTATTATATTAGTTTGCAAACACAGTTCAGATGCTGCATTTTCTCTTCCAGGCACTTACTGTGATGGGGCTGTAAGGCATTCCCTCACACCAAACACACATTTATCAAGTGATAGAGGTAGTTGCTTTGTGTGGGAAGAGAACACGCATCCTTATCCCTTTGACTATTTTTGAAACGCACATCTCAGAGCAATTATACTAAGAAAACTGCTCATTAGGATACTTGCAGGTTTGGTCCAAGGAGAAGCAGCCCTTTATCATTCAAACAGTGTATAGTACAATATTTTTACATATACATTCAAACACTTTACTAATATGATTATAAGCTTTTACATAAATGTATACTTGCATTCACAACATTAAGCTTTCTCCAAAGAATTGATCGTTCCAACAAATGTAAGATGGATATGTTAGGTAAAATATGCTTTGGAACCAATATATCTGTTTGGCAGTATCATACATATTATTATAAACAATAGCCCTATTTGGCCATTATGAAATTGGGCAAAATCAGGATTCTGAAATCAGGTGGAGAGCCTCCCTCAGTAGAGGAAACTTCCTTCTTACTGTTACCCTTTATATGCCTTCACAGGTAAAGGACAACAAAAGCAAGCATAGGTGAATGGAAGGGTTAAATCAGGCACACTCCTCTCATCACCAAGCTGGTTTTATAATGCCTGAAAAGGTCTAACATGGCACTCTGAATTATCCATTGCACAAAGTAAATATGTGGCATGGATGGATTTCATTTTCTGATCCTTTGGGAAGAGAAGACGACACGTAATAGAGGAAGGGAGACCTTAAAGAATGTAAGAAGAGTCCTGGGACTAAATCAGACCAAAGGTCTGTCTAGTCCAGCCTTCTGTTCCCTCAGTGACCAAGCAGAGGCCAAGAGGAAGTCCACAAGTATAACATAAGGGTGCAACACTACTCAACACACATGGACCCTAGCAAATGATAACACAGAGGTATACTTGTGCTGGTACTGGAAGGAATATATATAATTCCTGATGAAGAGGCGCTACACAATCCAATGTGATAAGAATTACAATGTTTAATTTAGTTATGGCCACTGTAATCGGGGAAGGGATGTGGTGGTGTTGCAGGTTAAACTGCAGAAGCCTCTGTGCTGCAAGCTCAGAAGACCAGCAGTCGTAAGATCGAATCCATGCGAAGGAATGAGCTCCCGTCACTTGTCCCAGCTCCTGCCAATCTAGCAGTTCGAAAGCATGTACAAATGTGAGTAGATAAATAGGGACCACCTCGGTGGGAAGGTAACAGTTCCATGTCTAGTTGCACTGGCCACGTGACCATGGAAACTATCTTCGGACAAACATTGGCTCTATGGCTTGGAAACGGGGATGAGCATCGCACCTAGAGTCGGACACGACTGGACTAAATGTCAAGGGGAACCTTTACTGTAATCAGAAATACAGGTTACTCTGTGTGAGGCATACAGAATAAAATATTAAAATGCAGTGAGTTCCTGTGGTCCTCATTAGATCTCGACAACGAAGGAGGACAGAATAACGTAGCTTTTGCCTGTATCTTTACAGGCTCTTGGAACAAATCAAAAGCAAGCGCAGACTTTTAGTCCACCTTCTGCTCTGTTCCCCAAGCATGTTATGACCCATTTAGGGCTGATTGTACTTACCTGGGACAAAGATTTTATCTATGGTATAGACCAGTGGTTCTTAACGTGGGCAATAATGCCCCTCAGGGGGCGATTTCATTTTTCAGGGGGGCAGTAGAACGAAAAGGGGCGGTGTGGGGAGCCAAACCTGTGAAGGCGACTGCAGCCGCAGTGCTGGCAGTAGATCCAGTGCTGCTGCTGCCGCCAGATGATCCAGCTCTTTCTACCTGCCACGTCTCGCCTTTTTCCTTTAGGGGGAGCACTGAGTGTGGATCGGGTGGAAGGAAAGGGTCTCTTGGGTCCTCATCCTTGCCCCGTGAAGCGCTGCCTCGCACCCTGGTGGGGAGGGAGACTAGGTAGGTAGGTAGGTAGGTAGGTAAGATATCAGGGAGGGGGGCGATGATAACTTCCTCAATGGTTCAAGGGGGCGTTTCTTTCAAAAAGGTTAAGAACCACTGGTATAGACTGTCCTTGTTTCTTTTTTCTATTGCTTCAGAATTTTTTAGAGACCACAACTAATATTTTTATTTATTTATCTTAATATTTATAAGATACCTTTATAAAGCAAGCCTACCCAAAGTAGAAATATAATGTAATATATATATATAATAAAAATTTGAAAATCTAAAATGTATTGAAAATCCAGAATACAGTAAAATGTAATATCACCTGTTGAAAAAGCAAAACATGCTCAGAGCCAGTGCAATAACACATTGATTCATTCCTACAGGCTGCTCTGTTAGAAATGTTGGCAATGAAGAGTTCTCTTATAGGGGTGAAGGGCCCAGCCAGGTTGCCTGTGACTTTTATATGAAGGATGATGATAAAGGAAGTTATCCATAAAGCAAAAATACTATACAATGTGGTGGATCACAGGCAAGCTAGGTTAGATTTTTACATATATAGTGATCCGCCCAGAGTAGCCTTGGTAGTCAGATGGCCAGTATAGTATATAAAATGAATATACATTCATTTTACAGTGTTTACTGGCCATCTGGCTACCAAGGCTACTCTGGGCAGTTCACAACAAAATAAACCACATTAACAGAAGAAATAATAACCATAAAACATAATCACAGCAAAAATCAAATAAACATATCAGTAATTAACTAAACAAACAACATAAGACAATTAAGGTAAAATTAAAACATAGCAATTAAACATTAACAAAGCAAGATGGAGGAGTTGATAGTTTAAGGGCTGAAAGAACCTCTGCGCTCTGTTGGTGCAATATCCGGAAAAGCCTATCTGAATAACCATGTTTTAAGCAGTCTCTTAAAAATCCCCAGTAAAACAAATATCAGGAGACTGAATGAAATAATAATTTAACAAACTGAGAGACAAATTCTTCAAGAGGATGATTGAATATACACAAAGAACACATTTTAACTTGTAAAAAGCTCAAAAAGGAACCCATAAGAATATGAGGACTTGTGCTCAATACATGGGCTATGGCTCCCTCTCTTTGACCATGCCAGAAAGCTGTTGCCTAAACTCATTGCAGAATTGGAATTGGCCACAAATGGCTTCAACCATAGGCCGGACGAAATGAAGCAAGAGGTCAGATTTGGCCGACTGAGAAAGGCTTCCTTATTCCTGATCGGAAACAAGGTTTCCGAACCTTGTGAGGCTAGTGGCACCTTCGGAGTGTTCAGGAAATGCACTTACATTGTAAACAAATTAATGTACAGTGTAATGCACTGCCCATAGAAACCCTTCTCTTCCCAACACGCGCAAGGCCCGGCTCCTCTCCTTTTAATTCCCAAAAGCCCAGGCACAGACCTTGACTTCACTTCCCCACCCCTGGCCATCCCCACCTTGGTTTCTTTTCTCTGCCAAAGCTCAGGGACTAGTTTGCTTTCTCATAACCTGTTCTCAGATCCCAAGTGTCCCACCTGCTGTCTAATTGGACCTACTAAACCG